TAGGGCCTTCCTACCCTCCAGCAGATCGACACTTCCACCCAACTTGGTGTCATCTGCAAACTTACTGAGGGTGCACTCGATCCCCTCATCCAGATCATCAACGAAGATATTGAACAGGACCGGCCCCGGTACTGAGCCCTGGGGAACACCACTCGTGACCGGCCGCCAACTGGATTTGACTCCATTCACCACCACTCTCTGGGCTTGGCCGTCCAGCCAGTTTTTAACCCACCGTAGAGTGCACCCATCCAAGCCATGAGCAGCCAGATTCTCCAGGAGAATGCTGTGGGAGACTGTGTCAGAGGCCTTACTAAAGTCCAAGTAGACAACATCCACAGCCTTCCCCTCATCCACTAAGCGGGTCACCTTGTCATGGAAGGAGACCAGGTTAGTGAAACAGGATCTCTCTGTTAGATGCATGAGAGCTGGCAAAAGCTTAAAACACGCTGAGGATGCAAGCATTGCTGGCTGCAACAAGCAGAAAGATTATGCCCAACTTTGTGAGGATGCAAAATCTTGTAAGTCACAAGCGAGAGGTTAGGATATCAGCGCGTGTTTATTTGCATGAAAGCACATGGGAGACCTGCACCAGCATGTGCAGGGAGAAGCTGCTGGGAGGCAGTGCTCTGCTGGCATCCCAGGATTGGGGATGCCGGAGGTTACCAGCAAAGCTTTCACATCAAGGCTTCATCAGCTATGATACTACATCTCTGGGCTGATCTCCACATCACCTTTTCAGGTACTTCTCCAAAAATATGTGATGTTTTGTTCCTAGTGCAGCCTGGAGCCCAACTTATGTTTTGTCTCCCCTATAACTCTCCTTCTAAACCATCTTGCTGCATCTCTGGCTCCTAAAGCCTTATTAAACAAACCTTTGCTCTGTAAGGCTGGGAGACACGGGGAGCCCAGGGACGCTGATAACCCAGTGGCACGCTGCTCCTGTCAGACAGCTGCCCATCTGCAAGGGGAATGGGGGATTTGGGAGCACTGGGGCTGGGGCATGTTTGCTGCCTGTCTGTGGAGGACCAGCATGGGGTTGTTCTGCTCCCCGCTGAGTTTGGGGCTGGGGTCTGTCCCGGTCCCTTTAAAGAGAACCAGACCCCTCCTACAGCCCTGCTCTGCAGTGCTTGGGGGACGTGGGGCTCTGTAGATGTAGCTGACTTTGTCAGGGTGCTCAGGGGACACGGCCACTGTGACCAGGGAGGGCTGACAGGAGCTACTGGTGTAAGCCTCCAAAAAAGGCGCAACTGGGACCCTTATGTCACCGCTGGGTGTGATGTTCTGCTGGAAGTCCCTGCCACCCTGGGATGAAGAGGGTCCCAGGACTCTCCCCTCTGGTACTGACATGCAGGGGCAGGGAAGGGAGCCAGTCCTCCCCTGGGAGCATCAGGGAGCTGCTAGGGCTCATTGGGTTCCCCTCACTGGCGACGCCTCAGTGAAACACCCCCCAGAGCTGGAGGGAGCCCCGACACCTGGAGATGCACCTCCCAAACCTCCAATGCCGGTGGTGCCTTCCCCTGCTCCTGCCCTGCCCCAGCTGATTCTCTTGTTGCTGCTGCAACAGGACAGCCACATCCCTCCCAGGCACCCACGTCCTTGTCACCCACCCCGACACCCCACACCACAGGAGAAGCAGGGGATGAGGCCACACACAGCACCCAGGGGGCTCAGGCGATGCAGGGGGAGAAGTGACACAGCGTGGCTATACAAGGCAGGCACCCAGCCCCACCGGCTCTGGGCAGAGCTGCCTGAAGAACTCTCAGCAGCCAAAGAGGTGATGCCAGACACCAGTAACTGTTAGGAAAAGCTGCTGGGCTGGAGTTGGTTTGAATTTTTTTTAACCATAATCACCACTCTTGACAAACTTATTTTTATTAATTAACATCCTTGGGTTTATGTAACTTCCTTTTTAAAGGTTTAATACTACCACGGTGAAACTTTACTGTTAAAAATAATACAGAAATCGTCACGTACATCCCTCAAGTGCTGCCCACAGTTCTTATCCTCAAAGCACAACCAGCCAGGCTGAAACGGCATGCAGGGATGGGGAGAGCCTGCATGGACCAGGACAGGCCACCAGAGCTGGGGTGCCATGTGGCCCATGCAGACCCTGAGCAGCATGGGAAGGGGAGCAGCGAGGTCCCCTCATCCATGAGGCAACCAAGGAGGAGCTTCATGGGCCGTTGTTGAGGCAGAGCCCACGTAGGCTGTGCCCCAGGACACTGTGGATGCCAGAAGTGGAAATGGGGTCCAAAAGGGATCCAGCAAGCTCCTGGAGGATATGCCCAGCTGCACAGGTGCAACTCGCCTAGTCCATGCCATGCTGCATGGTGGCAGCATGGAAGTTCACATCACCTCAACACCCACCACTGGCTTTCCCTGCCAGGGTACCGCTGCCACAGGACCTGCCCTGTCCCCACGTCCTTGTGCCAGCCTCAGGTGGCACCAGCATGATGGCTCCGAGGGGACGTGCCCTGGCTTGAGGCTGCTGTGTCGGATGCAGGGAGGAGCTGCTTTGGACCCCAACACCTGCTACGTTAGGCTCTGCTCTTGTTCCTCAGTGCAGGATAAACTGCAGGTCACCTCATTTGATGGCAACATTGAAGTCTTTGCACATCTTGCCCTCTAGCCTTTTGCTTGAAGCTTTCAAGAATAACCCTTGATTTTGTTTTAATGCCATGCCAGGGGTGCCCCACAAGCACGCTGGTGCCCAGCATGCCCTTAGGATTTCCAGCTACGTGCACTGCTCCAGGGTACGGCTTGCACGGAGCAGTACGGGATGCATTTGGCAGCCAGCCCCAGCCCCCCTGCAGTGGGGGCAGGAAAGGGGAGAGGAAGAGCCCCAGGGGCACTGCTTAAGGCACGCAGACACAAGGGCTGGGGCTGCCCCCAGGACCTGGGCACAGACCTGGCCGAGCGGGGAAAGCAGGAGACAGCAGCACCCATAGCCACCTCAGTGAGGGCCACCAGCCCATACACACCCCAGGGTGTTCCCAGCAAGAGACGGGGCCCCCAGGCCAGCCTGCCCCCATGCCAGGTGAATGAGCCCTGGTGGGGTGTTTCTTGGGTGGGACGGCCCACAGGCAGCCTGCCCCCTGCCACCCTAACCTTGCATCAGCCCAGCCAGGGAGAAGGAAAGCCACAGGACAGCGAGCCAGACGTCTGGACTGGGGTGAGAACAGGATGGGGAGGGTGAATAGGGAGAGGTACCAGCCCCATGCCATGGTATGGAGGAGAAGGGCAGTTCCCCTGAGGGTCTCCCAGTACCCACCTGAGCTCCAGCTTGTGGGTAGCCCCCAGCCTGGGAAGCAGCTTGGTCCTGACCTGCCGGTTGCCCATCTCCAGCATCACACCAAAGGCAGCCCCTTGGGGACTGCAGGGGTCGGTGCTGGAAACAAGCCCTGGGCCACCACAGGACTGTCCTCCTCCAGGTGGGTGGGTGCCCATGGGGAAGAGCCCTGCCTGCAGATGCTGGAAAGCAGATAGGAGTGCTCGCGCTGCCAGCTCCTGCATCTGACCATCAGGTTTTATTGAGCAGGGCAAGGCTGGGATGTGGCCGTGACTACGTGAGGAGCCCTGGCAACCCCAATTCCCTCCCCTTCCCCTCCAGGAGGGCCTCCCAGGCAAACTCCCTGGCACCCTCCTGGGCTGCCCCGTGCCAAGGCTGGGACGGACACAGCCCTGCAGCCTTGCCTGCCCTAGGCTTCCTTCCTCCCCAGCTGCAGGGCGCTGGCAGGACAGAGCAGTTTTGCAGCTGCAGCCCTCTGAGCCTTCTCCGCTCGCCCCCAGCCAGCGCCAGCAGCACGTCCACCAGCTCTGCTTCTTGTTGCCTCCATGATGCCCTTGAACACCAACATGCTGCTTGAGCTCCTCATCTTCAGCCTCAGGCCTGGTCATGGGTCCTTTTGTCCTGCTGCCAACAGTGCAGACAGGGCAAGGGAGTCCTCGGTTCAAGGCTGCGTTCCCGCCAAGGCCAAGCAAGAGTCCAGTCGGCTCTTCCCTGCCAGAGTCCTGCTCCCCACCACTGCTTGGAGGGGCACGGCTCCGCAAGTCCCCAGCGCCGGGGGGAAACACAGCTGGCTCAAACCCAGGCAGCAGGAGCAAGGCTGGGGGCAGAGCGGAGGCTACCTGCGCGGTGTGCCACATCTGCAAAGAGATTACGGCATGGGGTGAGTGCTTACGGCATGGCGAGGGACACCAGGACCTCCAGGCTCACCCGCTCTGCCCCGGGTCCCCCCTCCCTGTGCCTGGCCTCTCTGGCACTGAACCATGAGGTAAGGACCGCAGGCAGCCTCTTCACGGGGAGGACCGAGGAAAGTGGGGCTGTAGGTGCTGGCTGAGCCCCAAGCAGCAAGCTTCAGACGAAACAGGGAAATACAATGGGAAGGTGCCAGCCACAGCCACCATACCCAAAAGTGTCTGCAGTAAGAGTCCAGCCTGTGCTGTTACAGCAAGAGGTTCGAGACAGTCAGCTAAATGTAAGGAGGGAATGGGTAGAGTAACCCAAACAAGTAGCCAAGGACTGCAAGAAGGACACAGCTGGCAGCAAGATGAGGCTGAAACTGGAAATTCATGGATCCAGGAAACCCAGCGTGGTCTGTGATGGTGACAGAGCTACACACCATCAAGTCACCCAGCCCATCCATCCCCACCCTGGGTGGGACTGGCCAGCTTTGAGCAGCTGAGCCTGGAGACTACCGAGCACCTACTGAGCCTTCAGTAAAAGGCCCATTTCCCCACAGCCGCCCACTGTCCCCTCCATCCTGCTTTCTCCTGTGTCTGCTCTGCACAAGTCCCTCGCTGCTCACAGCGTCAGTAAAGACCTAAAGGCTTAATGAAGCTGCTCATCCCAAAGAAATGAACCCAGAAGACACCACCCATACCTGCCCCTTCTCACTTACAGTTCACAGTCTTTACGTCTCTTCTTGTCTTGTCTTCTCTTACCTCGCCCCTTGGGCCTCCTCCTTTGAAAGGAAAGTACCACAAGAGAGGCTGATGTGTGGGAGATGAGACCCACAACCCCAGCCGGTAGCACCGCCCTGATGTCACTTACCTTCCCAACCTCATCAGGTCCTGCCGGGGCCTGCAGGGCGGGAAAAGGACAGAGTGAAGTGGTTACTTGGGCAATGCTGTCTGCTGAGCTGCTGGAGGTGGTTTATTGAGATGCCCCAGTGTGCAGCACAATCTACCTGTTATCATTCATGCTTAAAACAGACCCAGTATGACTTCTCTCCATGTTATCAGCTGCTCAGCCCGGACCTGATTGCAGTAGGCAGAGAGAAGGCAGAGACAGCAAAGGGGCAGGGGATGGTCAGCTTTGGTGACTTCCCTGGGGATGCAACATTTTGTTCATGAGGCCGGGAAGCACAGGTTCAGTTTCAGCTGCTCTCAGTGACAGCTTTCATGGCTCAGCTGGTTAAACAAGATGCAACATCCTGAGTAACAGTGGGATCTGCTGCAAAGTCTCAGTAGTGGTTCTCAGACAACAGCCACGACATAATCAGCTTAAGCATCCTCTACACGGGCCAAGGCCAGGACATCCACCACGCCTACACTAAACTTCAAAGGGGAGCAATGTAAAGGTGTGGAATGTGGCTTAGGGAAAAGCCAAAAGGTGCTGCAGAAGCAAGAATTTTACACAGATTCAAAGGCAGCCTGCACAAGTACTCGTAGGAGATCCCCTGGGAGTTACCCAAGGTAGGAAAACCACAACAGGCTCAGGAAATTCCCTGCACGGAAAATAGCTGGAAGCAGAGGGAGGGGAAGTAACACATGTGCCTTTTCCCACTCCCTCTTCTGAGTCCACTGACAGATGCTCCAGAGACGGCATGGAGCTGATGGGCCTTGGGTCTGCTCCAGCACAGCCGCTCTTACGACTGCAGGGGAATACCAACCCAGGGATCCTCAGGCTCTTCTTCCAGGCAAGGATCGCATCTAACAGCTGCCCAGCAGGACACTCAGTCCCCAGTTTTCGCAATACTAAATCACCCTGGGGTCATGACAGAGAGCGAATGCCACGACCCCCATGCAGGCGGTGCTGGAGAGGCTCTGCGGTGGGGACCAGCTGTGGGCAGCACCGTAGCCGCTCCCTGCTCCCACAGCACTGCAGCCCCCGGGCAGAGGCCCCGTCCTGCCCAAGCTCTCACCACTTCTGGGATGCAATGAGCACCCCGAGGGGTTAACTATGTGCCAGGAGCCTGTGGCAGGTTGGTGCTGCACATCCATCCTGGGCCAGCGCTGCATATCCATGCAGGGTTTTAAGCTTTCATTTGTCGGCTTGGATGTAAACCCCTGCTTCCCAGTTCTGGATGGGGCAGCCTCCCTTAAATGGAGGCCCAAGGCCCAGCCCTTCAGCTTTCTCTTTGGGCCGCAGTCACACTCACGTATTCCAAGCAATGGAGCTCCCTGCTGAGCCACCTGGGGCACACTGCCCCACACCAAACGTCTGCCTCAGAGCCACCAGCCTTGCTCCGTTACCCACAGGCAGCTCCTCTGGCCAGCGGAGCACACGCCAGGCATGCCACGGCATCCGCAGGGATGGGGGCACAGAGATCCCTGCTCAGAGCCAGGGTGCCGCAGCAGCTCCAGCCCTGCAGACAGCGCATGGTGCCCGACCTGGCCGCGCAATGCTACACACCCCCTTGGCTGCAGGGAGCAGGCTGCAGAGGCACAGTGCAGCCTGCAGCTCAGCAAGGGCCATAAGCACTGGCAAATCCCAGAGTGGACACAGTGGGGGTGTCCCGGCATGGCTGGGGTGCCCCCAGGGCATCCTTGTCTCACACACAGGGTGAGCTGGCAGGGTCACTCTTGCTGGAGAGGCACAGGGTTGCAAAATGAGCCCGGGGTCCCTACCTGCACTCGCACTGCTTGTGCTCGGTGAATGCCATCTCCACATAGGGTGCCTCCCCATTTGGTTTTATCTTCAGGAGCTGAAAGAAGAGCAAAGGTTACGTCCCGGCCGGCGGCAGGAGGGGGCTGGAAGGGCTCCCGCAGCACTGCCTCGACACCCCAGCCTCTCGGGCAGACGCATGTCTAACCTGTTCCTCTGGACCTCCAGCAGCGGAGACTCCACCTCCGCAGCACTGGCCAGGCCCAGCCGCCCCGGCAGCTTGGGAGGCTCTGCTAGTATACTGCCCTGTGTCTTCAGGGCTCAAATTTAAGTCCCGTGGTCTTGGGATTTCCCAGCCTTAGAGGAGAATTTTCTGTCTCTGCCTTTGTGGAGAGCTTTCACATATTGGACCGCTTTGCACATGTCCCTTCTCTTATGGAAATATCCCCCAGTCATGTTTCCCAGACCATTCCCGTTGCTGCTGCCTCCTCCTGGCCCCCTTTCCTGCAGCACCAAGCCTGGAGTCAGTACCACGGTGCCTCCCGAGCCCTGGGTGCAGGATTTGCCCTGTCATGTGCCAGTCCACAGCCCAGTCCAGAGTTCGGGTTGGACATCCAGGGGCTCCCCAGGGTATGTTCATCATTGGTGTGACCCACACTAACCCCTGCAGAAGTGCCTGGCGTTGCCACCCCACACACAGCAGTGGGATCCCTCTCGTGGAAGGAGACCTGTGCTTGGGAAGTTGCCTCCCGTTCATGTCAGGCACTTGCTCCACCTCAGTCAAGATTTTTTGGAGACTCCCACCCTGTCTTCCAACATGCTTTCAACCCCAGAGGGACCAAAACCACTGGTGATTTATTGCAGGCACTCTCTAGTCTGTCACCCATGGGAAAGCAGAGCTTTTCCCTGCTCCCTGCAGCAGCAGAGGGCTGATCTCCGGCAGCGCAGCACAAAGGCTGCGGTGTGAGGACAACGGCTGCCTGGTGCACGGGCAAGAGCTGACCGGCAGCTTGTTCGCAGCCCGGGATCTCCCACCCCACTTCGCGCAGCTCCCACAGTGGGGACTGGAAACATGGCTGGTGCAGCCCTTCACGTTCACCATCCCCCCGGCACAGGTTCACTGTCAGCACCACCACGGGCATCTCCTGAGACATGAGAGCCTTGCTTCTCCCTGCGATTCAGGGGCAGCGCCTGCTTTGTCACAGCAAGCAGAGTCACAGGCAACTGGGACGCCCCCAGCCCTACCACAGCAGAGGGAAGGTCTGGAAGGGGAACGGCAGTCAGCAAGATGGACCACACAGAGGAGAGGGCAGGGAAGCAGGGAGCGAGGTCAGTACCACCCGGGGTGTCATCTGGCCTCAGGGACAAGCCCAAAGAGCAGGCAGAGGGACCCTCCAGGTTTGGCATGCACTTGAGCAGTTGTAAGCAAGCCCCCTCCCCTGTTATCCATGCTGCTACAACACCTGGAGGATGCGAAGCTGTAAGTTCACCCTCCCGGTGCTTGGCGAGGAGCCCACCACCTCCCGGCGCAGCCACGGCCCCGCAGCGGCAGTGCTTACCTGCATGGTGACCGTGCTTGTCTCCACGGGGACGCAACGGAGACCCTCGTCCCCACAGCAGCCTCCGCAGCGCTGCAGGGAGACGCAGGAGGGTCTGAAAATGTACTCCACCTCGTTGGGGAACTCGGTAATGACGTCCACCAGCTGCTCCAGAGGCCGGCAGAAACTACGATTCCAGATCTCCCGAAAGGTCAGGACTGCAAGAGACCGGGGTGGGGGGCTATAAGGAGGCACCCCAGAGAGGCTGAGCCCAGCCGAGCCACTGCCGGGGCAGGTGCAGCAGCCGCAATGGGGTCCTGCATCCATCGCAGGGGCACAGGGATGCAGAGGACCCCCTTGTGCCCCCAGTAAGTCCATCACCGCACTGGTGCGGGGGCTCACACAGCCACCACATGCACCCCGATGGGCTCCTTCACCACCTGCCTGCCAGCTCCGCCTCCTCCGTCTCAGGCACCCCGCTTCCCCCCGTCTCCCCTGCCCTCCCCCGGCGGGCACGGAGCCCAGCCCCGCAGCGCAGCAGACAACCGTCCCCTCGGGTTTCCCAGCGCGGAGAGCAGAGGGGAGCCGAAGCGGAGCGTTCCTGCCCGGGACCCCGCACCCGGCACCGGAGGAGCGGCAAGCCCCGGGCAGGGCTGCGCTCCGCTCCGGCCCGCGGCGGTGCCCGGTGCCGCAAGCGCCCGGGGCGGGCTGGGGGGAACGGGCTGGGGGGAACGGGCTGCTCCGAGCCCCGGCACAGCTCCCCGCTGCCCCCCGCGCATCGCCGCGGGGCTCCG